AATCATCAAGAAATTTAAACATGATTAAAATTTACATCATCAAAAAATTTCAACATGATCAAAATCTATACATCAAAAACTTCACACGTTATCAACACTTTTACCATCAGACCTGCGCCAACCAACAAGCCAATGTTCCAACCAGCAAACACAACAAGATGGACAGATGCTGGACCAATGGTGACCTGCTCGTGACGTCATCGTACAACATGGCGTAGACCCGCGTCTGCACGCCGGTCCCGCCCTCGACCCGGATTGGCGCCGCGTGCAGCCGGAAACCGCGTGCCGGAAGTGAGTCTGGCACCATGACGTTCTCGATGATGACGATGTTCTGCGACAGCAGCAGACGGTGGACGGGGAACGTCGTGTCGGTGGGGCCGTCTGGTGCAGGCACGTCGACGGCCAGGATCTTGAGGTGTCTGTGGTCCAGCAGCCAGCGGGCAGCCTCGGCGGACACCACGGGGAAGTGGAAGGTCCTGGGGAGGGGAGGTGGTGGCGTTAGCTGGGGCTTGACACCACGGGGAAGTGGAAGGTCCTGGGGAGTGGAGGTGGCGTTAGGTGGGGCTTGACACCACGGGGAAGTGGAAGGTCCTGGGGAGGGGAGGTGGTGGCGTTAGCTGGGGCTTGACACCACGGGGAAGTGGAAGGTCCTGGGGAGTGGAGGTGGCGTTAGCTGGGGCTTGACACCACGGGGAAGTGGAAGGTCCTGGGGAGTGGAGGTGGCGTTAGGTGGGGCTTGACACCACGGGGAAGTGGAAGGTCCTGGAGAGGTGGGGGGGAGGGAAGGTGACGTTAGCTGGGGCTTGACACCACGGGGAAGTGGAAGGTTCTGGGGAGGGGAGGTGACTTTAGCTGGGGCTTGACACCACGGGGAAGTGGAAGGTCCTGGAGAGGTGGGGGGGAGGGGTTATCTGGGGCTTCTGGCAAGTTGGTGATAGGTGGGGTATTTTGTCAAGTTGTTTAATTTGGTGTATTCTATAAACATTTTGCATTCTTCCAAGTTGTTTAATTATGTGCATTCTGTCAATTTACCGCTAGATAATGCATTTTGTCAAGCTGTTTAATTGGGTGCATTTTGTTAAAATCTTGCAACGCGCATTCTGTCAAGATTGTTAAAGCTTTGCATTCCAAAGAATTTTTATAATTGGGCATTCTGTTAGGTTTTTTTTTTATATATGGAGTATTCTATCAAATACTTTAAAATATTTGTACCATTAACCCTCTACACTTTAATGTTTTTGAAATAAATTCTTACATCGTTAACCTTCTACCAGCTATATTTGTATTATTAATAATTTGATTTTTAACCTTCTACTAGCTATATTTGTATTATTAATAATTTGATCGTTAACCCTCTACCAGCAATATTTGTATAATTAGATCATTAACCATCTACTAGCTATATTTGAAAAACTGGTTATCCTATCTGTTTATTTCCTGTTTTGTATCACTCCATAATGGGGAAGGAGTGGGTGGTAAGAGAGTTGCTTTAAAAGGTCGTTTTGTTTAAAATACATGTTTTGTCGCAAATGTCATGTTTTATTTGAAATGTCATGTTTTCTTTTGGAATGTCATGTTTTATGTTAAATGTCATGTTTTGTCTAAAAGTCATGTTTTGTCTAAAATATCAATTTGTAGGTAACCAAATAAAAACGACAGGGAATGGGAGCACCAGGAGTGTAACCACCTGGGATGTAACCAGTTGGGATGTAACCAGATGGGATGTAACCAGTTGGGATGTAACCAGATGGGTTGTAACCGCATAGGATGTAACCAGATAGGATGGAGTAGAAAGCAACTTACGTGTGATTGGTGACGTCATTGGTTCCGAAAAATTCTCGTGGGTTTGACCAGCGTGAGGTCCAGCCAAAGTTGACCAGCACAGCGGCCTTGTCGGGGATTCTGCCGTGGTCAGTCTCCCAGGCCTTCAGCTGGGGGGAGAGGACACGGTATAGAGGAAACATCTTAGGTTAACGGGGGGGGGGGGGGGGGGCGGACAGAGGACACGTCATAGAGCAAACCTCTAGGTTGGGGGGGGGGGGGGGACAGAACACATTATAGAGCAAACCTCTCTAGTTTGGGGGGAGGGGGAGGGGTACAGAACACATTATAGAGCAAACCTCTCTAGCCTTACATTCGGTTTTCATGCTGAAAGTTCTGATGTCTAAGCGCCCCCTTACCTCCCTCCTCCCCCCTCTCTTTAATAAAAAAACATTTTAAATATCCTACTGTAATGTTAAATTTACAGTACGCAATGAACAGAAGCAAACGTTACTGTAGTTTTGTTTTTACACCCCCCCCCCCTTCTCAACATATCCCAGGGCCAGCTATTCTCCATAAACATCCTTTGAAAATGTTTTCTTTTCCGTAAACAAAACGAAAACGATTATTTGAAGCTCTTTCCATCACCGGCATATGTCACGTGATCCACCTTGTTTTCTCTGTGTGGTTGACCATCTCTAGCTGCACCTTGTGCTACAGTAGAACTAGGTGCGCCTTGTGCTACCTGTGAATCCATGTGCACCTTGTGCTACAGTAGAACTAGGTGCGCCTTGTGCTACCTGTGAATCTATATGCACCTTGTGCTACCCGTGAATCTATGTGCACCTTGTGCTACACGTGAATCTATGTGCACCTTGTGCTACCTGTGAATCTATGTGCACCTTGTGCTACCCTTGCAGCTGTAGGTGCACCTTGCTATAAACGTGATTGCTTGCAAGGTCTGAAGTCAAGTTAAATGAACAAGACCGTGTGTTATATTCTGGTAGATCTCAAGCATATCTTGATTGACTCAATAATGAATACACATTTAACAATGTACGTAATGAAATGAATACATCCAATAATTTAACAGTGAGCCAAATCTATTTTTAGCGTGAGCAGACGTTGACCTACTTTCTCTACTGTCAGCTGGTAATCATTGTTTAGGGCGGCCTCAGCTCTAGCGTCTATCATGACGCCCTCGGCTATCGTATGCTCCAGGGGTAGGTCCTTCAGGTCGTAGCTGTGGGGGGAGAAGTGCCGGGGGGCGTCGATATGGGTGCCGCCGTGCTCCCCTGACGAGAAGGCGCCCACTTCAATCCTGAAAGATTATCACGTGATCAAAGGTTGCAAAGGATCCATTTTGTCCTAACCTTGGTTACACTGTGACATTAAAAAATAATGGCATACGAGTGTGTATGTGTGTGCGCGTGCGAGCACGTGAGTTTGTGTGTGAGTGTGAGTGTGTATTTTGAACGATTAGACATACCTACAAATTCTTAAAAAGCTTGAAGATCCTTAGCCTTTGGAGAAGGAAACTTTGCTTAAGGAGACTTCTGGTTAGGTAAAGTTTCGGAGTATGGTTTGTTTTGTAGTATAGATAAAACACTTTCTTGGAATTCTCGATACATAAATATGTAGCTATGGCTGTTCACTGACTTATCAATTGTGAAATGGAAATATTTAATATTGCGTTTAAAACTTTTTCTTTATGAAAGAAATCGTCGATATTATTTAACTAAAACATAGCAAATACAAATTATATAATGTTATTTCATTTTCTTTTACATTTCCTTTTACCAAGCTTGATACGAATTAAACATATTTATTATAGAATCTAGGCCACTCTAGGCCTCTATTGGTAGGCCTATATAATAAACAATTAAGGGAAAATATTTTTTACGGTAGGGGAAACAACCATTAAAATTCTACTTACCAAACTTTATCCTTGTTACTTCCCATTACTACAACTGTCCTGTTAAATTTCGGCTGTCCGGGCCAGTAGATCGTATTATGCGAGAGGGGATGAGACAAGTCTATAATCATGCCGGTGACGCCAGAACACAGAAGAACGACCAGCAGACGACACAAGAAGGGTTGTCTTGAGGTCATGACTTTCAACATTGTCCTGATATACATTTATGAATAAATATTTTAACACAATTTTTTACGAAAAAAAAAATTAAAGTGCTTGGATGTGAATACATAACAGGCTACCCTACCAATCCGAGGGATGAAGACCCAACTGAAAATGTTTTGTTGAGGATAAAATCCACCAGCGTCAGCCGAATTCAAGTACGCGAGCACTGCCAGCTACTTATATAAGCGGGTAGCGGACGGAATGTGTTTGTTCAGCGAGTGATCTCCCCTTGTTGAGTCGTAAACAACATGCACAACAGGAAATGTTGTTTACAGTTCTGTCTGATAATTAGTTGCATATCGTCGGGGTCACGGCATTTGCGGAATCAAGTTTATTTTTTGCCTAGCTTGAACTTTAATTGTGAGTGGGCAGAGTTTCTTCCAGGCATCTCTTCGAGGGGTGAGCCTACCCCCCCCCCCCCCGAACGAAATGGAATTTATATAGAAAACATACTTTTACCAGTTCTCGCACCCCCCCCCCCCCCGGAGAAAAATGTCTGGAAGAAACACTGTGAGTGGGCTTACTGTAAACGTACTTTAACTTTGAAGGGGATTACTGTAAACGTACTTTAACTGTGAGTGGGCATTTAATATATAAATTCAAAACGTGCACGTGTGTATGAGTGTGGTATATGTTTAGAAATAAAAAAAGAACTAAAATATGTACATTACTTCGCCACTTCTGTGCATTCATTTTTATACACTGCATGTCCATAACTCACATGTACTAACTAACATAGAGATTTGGAGTTACAAATATTAAGTTAAAAATATATTTTTCACAAGCAATTTATTAATGAGTAATTCACTGTTAAAACATCAGGTTCACGTGTGGGTCTAGCGCTTAAACTCTTCAAATTCCCAACAACACTGTTGGTCATCGAAAGAATAGCACAGACTATATCGTGGTACCCCCCAGTATACGAGAAAGTAAAAAGAGGATATGAAACTTGTACTTTAGATTTTTATTGAACAGGTGAAATTAGAACTTGTCATTATAAATTTACGTGTATTTCGGTACCTCAAGCTTGCGTGCATGCATTAAATTGGAGACAAAAAAGTGGCGGGGCTTAACTTTTCGCGCGTGCACTTTTTACTTTACAGGCGGGGCTTATCCGGATAACACACAGGAAAACAAATGTTACATGTCGTAGTTAATTTGTACCTCGAGTTATAATGATCAGTTACAACGAAGCCGGGTGTCAGTCAGTAAGTTAAATCAGGAAAAAAAAAACTTCAAACTTACCAATCAGTGAAATGTAGTAGTTGCTTCAACGTCAAGCCGTAGTCTATCCAAGATGGTTTTAAGGTAATGAACTTTACCCCGCTCGTCCTTATATTATGTATGCAATTCTTTTAAACGATAGAGCAAACAAAAGATCCCCAATAATATTTGATGAGAGCCAAAAGTACGTTCAGAAAATTCAAGCTAGATCTACATACCAGAAAATATATTTACTTTTTTTTTTAGTGAAAAGACCCACCTTGCTCCCAAATCGACGATGAATCAGCTGATTTAGAAACTTTTAAAAACACACGGTCTTCAATGACTGGCAATATTTTCACTAAACACCGGGGGAAAAAAATTGGCTAACAAACAAAGCTATTACGTTCAGATTGGCTAAGAAAGAAAGCTATAACGTTAAGATTACTTAAGATTGGCTAAGAAAGAAAGCTATAACGTTAAAACAACAAACATGTGTAGGCCGCGAGGTATTAATACACACGTTATGTCAACAAACGAAGGGAGGTAACTAGCCTTTCGTGTCACGGTAACATTGGGGCGGGGGAGAGGTAGGTAAATACATCTTGAATCATTGCACAGGTAAGAAGTTGAATACCCAGGTGAGTTCATTATTCACCCAGCTGTCTAGTGAAGGTGAGTTCATTATTGGATCAGATATATCATTACTCAACTAGAAAAGGATTTGTTAAAATGGCTTGCGTTGGCTAATTAAGTCCAGTGATCAGTGACAAATGTGAAAACATCTTCTCTTGTTGACATGACGTGTTCACATAAGCCGGACAACCGGCAGTTTTGTCACGTGATTTCGTGTCAACCACTGGCACACACACCAGCCGGCAAATATCAACAACGTATGTGTGTGTGTTACATAACTAACATGCAGGGTTGTGTCCCATGTTTAGAGTAGACCTAGATCCACATAACTCCACATCATATCAAGTAAACCCTAACATAAGAACTAATTGGGGAGGACCCGATGTGACCGCAATCGAATTGGTAAACAAAATATATTTTCAGTAGATGTGTAGTCATTTAAGGTGAATGCTTGCGTCAAATTCAGATCTAGTTATTCAAGAAGATGTAGGTTTTAGATAAAGTGTATTGACTTTATTAACGATACTTTGAATCTCCATCTATTACTATTAATTACAATTGCGTTTAACCGTTGTAAAATGTAACCTTTCCAACAGAGCTACAAGGAGAGACAACTCTAATGCTGTCTACAGCTGACCAATTACCTCCCTTAGTTAAGAAAACGTTATTTTTATTGCAAGTTTGGTTTTTCACACAAAGGGAGACAATAGATTTTTTCTAATTACAAGGGCGAGAAACCTCAGTAGTTGATATCCGCGGAAAAAAAGAATTAAAAAATTATAACGTTCAGAAGATTTTGGCTACAAATGGTAGCCAAAACAAAGATTTTCTTTTAATAACTGATTTAGAAATTCAAGAAAAACTGATTAAGACAGATTGTAAACCTTGTATCTGATATGGACTATATCTTAAATTTTCTTTGATGGGATTGTATAGCTACCTCCATATACAATACAGTAAAGTTTAGAAGATGTCTGTTAAACAAAAAAAAAACAAAATCCATTTTCATGAACACAATTATACATTCTTTAATGACATTAATTACATTATGTACAATGTACAGTTGACATAAAAATAAGGGGCTAATGACTGTGAGGGTGGTGTGTGAACCCCCCCCCCCCTCATATGACAAACCTGGGACAGCCTACACTTCATGGCCAGCTGGCAACAACTTAGCCTGTAACAAAATCCCACCCTTCCATCTTCACATTGTCTCAAGTTACGCTTGAGTTTCATTCTGTCACAACAGAAAAAATAAAAAAACAGAAGAAAGATTGGCTTCAAATCTGTCAAATAGGAAATGTGGAGTAAAGAAGTACTGAAGTATACAGTATATACAGTGCAGCTAGTTTTCTCCCCCCTTCCCCCATATGCATCCCACTCCAGGTACCCACTACAGTATTGTTGGACGATGCACCCACAAAAGTACTGTTAGATCAGGTACCCACTTCACTTACCAAACTCAGGTACCCACTCCAGCATTATAGTTCCACCCAGGTACCTACAACATCAGCTGCTCATTCATCCCCCCATCTCATCCACTAATCTCATCCATTCATCTCATCCAGGTGTATGTAGAGCCTGCCACCCCCCCCCAACTCATCCATTCATCTCATCCAGGTGTATGTAGAGCCTGCCACCCCCCCCCAACTCATCCATTCATCTCATCCAGGTGTATGTAGAGCCTGCCACCCCCCCCCCCAACTCATCCATTCATCTCATCCAGGTGTATGTAGAGCCTGCCACCCCCCCCCCCAACTCATCCATTCATCTCATCCAGGTGTATGTAGAGCCTGCCACCCCCCCCCCCCAACTCATCCATTCATCTCATCCAGGTGTATGTAGAGCCTGCCACCCCCCCCCCCCCCCCCCAACTCATCCATTCATCTCATCCAGGTGTATGTAGAGCCTGGCCTTGTCCCCATCACTGTCCACCCCCCCCCCACCTCATCCATTCATCTCATCCAGGTGTATGTAGAGCCTGGCCTTGTCGCCATCACTGTCCCCCCCACCCCCCCCCCCAACTCATCCATTCATCTCATCCAGGTGTATGTAGAGCCTGCCACCCCCCCCCCCCCCCCCCAACTCATCCATTCATCTCATCCAGGTGTATGTAGAGCCTGCCACCCCCCCCCCCAACTCATCCATTCATCTCATCCAGGTGTATGTAGAGCCTGGCCTTGTCCCCATCACTGTCCACCCCCCCCCCACCTCATCCATTCATCTCATCCAGGTGTATGTAGAGCCTGGCCTTGTCGCCATCACTGTCCCCCCCACCCCCCCCCCCAACTCATCCATTCATCTCATCCAGGTGTATGTAGAGCCTGGCCTTGTCCCCATCACTGTCCCCCCACCCCCCCCCCCAACTCATCCATTCATCTCATCCAGGTGTATGTAGAGCCTGCCACCCCCCCCCCCCCCAACTCATCCATTCATCTCATCCAGGTGTATGTAGAGCCTGGCCTTGTCCCCATCACTGTCCCCCCCCAACTCATCCATTCAACTCATCCAGGTGTATGTAGAGCCTGCCCCCCCCCCCATCTCATCCATTCATCTCATCCAGGTGTATGTAGAGCCTGGCCTTGTCCCCATCACTGTCCACCCCCCTCCCCCCCCAACTCATCCATTCATCTCATCCAGGTGTATGTAGAGCCTGGCCTTGTCCCCATCACTGTCCACCCCCCCCCCCACCTCATCCATTCATCTCATCCAGGTGTATGTAGAGCCTGGCCTTGTCCCCATCACTGTCCACCCCCCCCCCCACCTCATCCATTCATCTCATCCAGGTGTATGTAGAGCCTGGCCTTGTCCCCATCACTGTCCACCCCCCCAACTCATCCATTCATCTCATCCAGGTGTATGTAGAGCCTGCCCCCCCCCCCCCCAACTCATCCATTCATCTCATCCAGGTGTATGTAGAGCCTGGCCTTGTCCCCCCCCCCCCAACTTATCCATTCATCTCATCCAGGTGTATGTAGAGCCTGGCCTTGTCCCCGTCACTGTCCACCCTCCCCCAACTCATCTATTCATCTCATCCAGGTGTATGTAGAGCCTGGCCTTGTCCCCATCACTGTCCACCCCCCCCCAACTCATCCATTCATCTCATCCAGGTGTATGTAGAGCCTGGCCTTGTCCCCGTCACTGTCCACCCTCCCCCAACTCATCTATTCATCTCATCCAGGTGTATGTAGAGCCTGGCCTTGTCCCCATCACTGTCCACCCCCCCCCCAACTCATCCATTCATCTCATCCAGGTGTATGTAGAGCCTGGCCTTGTCCCCGTCACTATCCACCCCCCCCCCCAACTCATCCATTCATCTCATCCAGGTGTATGTAGAGCCTGGCCTTGTCCCCATCACTGTCCCCCCCCCATCTCATCCAGGTGTATGTAGAGCCTGACCTTGTCCCCATCACTGTCCCCTCCCCATCTCATCCAGGTGTATGTAGAGCCTGGCCTTGTCCCCATCACTGTCCACCCCACATCTCATCCATTCATCTCATCCACGTGTATGTAGAGCCTGGCCTTGTCCCCATCACTGTCCCCCCCCCCCCCATCTCATCCATTCATCTCATCCACGTGTATGTAGAGCCTGGCCTTGTCCCCATCACTGTCCACCCCCCCCCATCTCATCCATTCATCTCATCCAGGTGTATGTAGAGCCTAGCCTTGTCCCCATCACTGTCCCCCCCCCCCAACTCATCCATTCATCTCATCCAGATGTATGTAGAGCCTGGCCTTGTCCCCATCACTGTCCCCCCCCCCCCCCAACTCATCCATTCATCTCATCCAGATGTATGTAGAGCCTGGCCTTGTCCCCATCACTGTCCCCCCCCCCCCAACTCATCCATTCATCTCATCCAGATGTATGTAGAGCCTGGCCTTGTCCCCATCACTGTCCACCCCCCCCCCAACTCATCCATTCAACTCATCCAGGTGTATGTAGAGCCTGGCCTTGTCCCCATCACTGTCCACCCCCCCCCCAACTCATCCATTCATCTCATCCAGGTGTATGTAGAGCCTGGCCTTGTCCCCATCACTGTCCACCCCCCCCCCAACTCATCCATTCATCTCATCCAGGTGTATGTAGAGCCTGGCCTTGTCCCCATCACTGTCCAGCCTGCCATCAAAGTCCTGGCTTCTCTTGGACTCAATGGTCCTCAGACGGTTGTTCCACATGGACAGCAGAGTTTGACCTGAGGCAGGTGATGTGATTCAACAGTTTTAACATCTGACATGGACTGGACATCATACATTAATAGCACCTTTCACATCAATTGTATGCACTTAACATCCTCAACTTAAACACAAAATACCACCCCTAACCTAGCATCACACAAAATATCACCCCTAACCTAGCATCACACAAAATACCACCCCTAACTTAGCGTCACACAAAATACCACCCTAACCTAGCATCACACAAAATACCACCCCTAACCTAGCATCACACAAAATATCACCCCTAACCTAGCATCACACAAAATACCACCCCTAATCTAGCATCACAAAATACCACCCCTAACCTAGCATCACACAAAATACCACCCCTAACCTAGCACCACACAAAATAACACCCCTAACCTAGCATCACACAAAATACCACCCCTAACTTAGCATCACACAAAATACCACCCCTAACCTAGCATTACACAAAATATCACCCCTACCTAGCATCACACAAAATACCACCCCTAACCTAGCATTACACAAAATATCACCCCTAACCTAGCATCACACAAAATACCACCCCTAACCTAGCATTACACAAAATATCACCCCTAACATAGCATCACACAAAATACCACCCCTAACTTAGCGTCACACAAAATACCACCCTAACCTAGCATTACACAAAATACCACCCCTAACCTAGCATCACACAAAATATCACCCCTAACCTAGCATCACAAAATACCACCCCTAACCTAGCATCGCACAAAATACCACCCCTAACCTAGCACCACACAAAATACCACCCCTAACTAGCATCACACACAATACCACCCCTAACCTAGCGTCTCACAAAATACCACCCCTAACCTAGCACCACACAAAATACCTCCAGATCTCATGCTTAGTTCTTCTGTTTTCTTCTTCTTGGGAGGTGAGGGCTCCACTGATTTGTTCTCTTTGTGTAGAGCATCTTGTCTCTCTCTCTCAGTCATCTGCTGTAGCCTAGCACAAACACAGACAGAGATATTCATTCAGTTAACCTGCTCAAGTCAACAGTTACCTGTCAAAGTCACCTGTCCAAGTCACCCTGTCTTCTGACCAAGTCAACAGTTACCTGACCAAGTCAACAGTTACCTGACCAAGTCAACAGTTACCTGACCAAGTCAACAGTTACCTGACCAAGTCAACAGTTACCTGACCAAGTCAACAGTTACCTGACCAAGTCATCTGTCATCTGACCAAGTCACCCTGTCAGCTGACCAAGTGACCCTATTACCTGACCAAGTGACCTATTACCTGACCAAGTGACCCTATTACCTGACCAAGTGACCTATTACCTGTCAAAGTCCTTCCAACTTTGCTCGGCTTCTGTCTTCTCCTCCTTCTTGACGGCCAGCTTCTTGCTGTGGCTGGTGGAGTCGTCTCCCTGCTTCTTACACTCCATTAGACACTCCAACACCTGCCCGTGCTCGATGGACGTGTCAGAGTAGGCGCTGATCAAAGCCTCGAGCTCAGCCCACAGCTGTCTGTACTGTTCTTCCCTGCAGGAGAAAGGTATAGACATTACAGGAGCAACATAGACCTTACAGGAGCAATATAGACCTTACAGGAGCAACATAGACCTTACAAGAGCAATATAGACCTTACAGGAGCAACATAGACCTTACAAGAGCAATATAGACCTTACAGGAGCAACATAGACCTTACAAGAGCAATATAGACCTTACAGGAGCAACATAGACCATAAAGGAACAATCACCAGGATCAAGATATAAATCTTACTGGACCAGGATCACAAAAAGAAAGTTGTAAACTTTAGCACAAAGACTCAAAACCAATGACTAGCATATGTGTTGATGGTTTAACTGCTCTAAAAACAATCCTTATACATTATACAACTAACTGGTAAACTAAATACAACCATACTTTCAGTCAACCATACATGCAGTCATATTGTCAAATATTAAACACTTGTAATCTCAAGTACCTGTGTATATGTATTTTTAAATTATGTAATTTAATGTGTACATGAAGTGTTATGTCTAACAAGAAACAGCTCTGTACCTCTTTGGGCCCTTGCCTCTAGAACCAGCAGCTGGCACTGGAAGGGGGTCATTCTTGGACTCCATGTTGACTATTTTATAGATGACCATTTTACATTCCAGAACCTCAGGCTCAGTCAGTTTGTCTTTCAGCAGGAGCTGGGGTAGTGGGCTGATGTTCTAGGGAGAAATTTTTTCCAGCATTTTATATATATATATATATATATATATATATATATATATATATATATATATATATATATATATATATATATATACATATATATATATATATATATATATATATATATATATATATATATATATATATATATATATATATATAAATATATATATATATATATGTGTATATATGTGTATATATGTGTATATATCTATATATATATATATATATATATATATGTATATATATATACTAGCTTCACTATGATGTAAAATAAATTGAAAGTACTCTGAAGAAATAAGAAAAAAACACACAATGTTGGCGGACAAAATAAAACAATTTATCACTCTAAATAAAAAACAAAAAAAAAGATACACACAATGAACGCAACACAATCTTTTTCTAATCGTTGTAAAAAACAATTTGACATAATGATTCCTAGTAAATTAAGACAAACGAACTAGGGGAGATAATCACTCTCTTAATTTCTAAAATTTAATTGTAAATTAATTGTAATTGTAAATGTCAAAACATATCACTAATTACTTTAGTATGTATTAAAAAACTTTACTTTATTCGTTTTTACAAAAATATGTTCTCTACAATCAGAATTAAATATATTGTCATCATAAATGCTAAAATCTTACGGTATAATTTAAGTTTTTAAAATCAGAGTTGGTATAAAAGCACGCTTTCCGATTTTTATATTAAGACTAAACCTAGTAGGTGGAAGATTTCAAATAAGCTATTATTACAGTTGAGATCACACATTTTCTAATTAGCTACTGTTTTTTGTGTTCTTTAAAGATCATTTTTTAAAAATAATGAAAAGGTATGGGTTGGATCACTGAATTGCACACACACACCTATTTACTGGTAATGCAATAATATTTAAAGAGTTTTAGCTGTTTCAAAAGCTATTAATATGGCGGCAAGGTACTTTGGTACGTCATTTGGTTCCCCAAATGTACCAACACATCAGTTTGGGGTGGGTTGGGAGAGGGGGGGGTTCAACTTCATTCACCGCTGTCGGGTCACTTTAGGTCAATAATCCTACCCAGCGTATACCTAGGTGTGTCCCGTTTTAGGTGGTGAAGTGAAGGGGGACCAACTCAGAGTGAACATAGCGTAAGTTTTTAGATGATGGTTCTAAACATACGTATACAATTTTACATAATAATATATACTGATTCAGAAATAGATTTAAGTAAGTAACAGTGGTATTATGACAGTAAAAAAATTTACAGAGGGGTCCATGGGGGGGGGGGGGTTATAACACCCCCCCTGCCTACGCCACTGGTGGGCTGATGTTCTAGAGAGAAATGGAAGCACCTTATGACCAACACCAATTAGATATCTATCTTCTATCAACCAGCCCCACTAGAATATCTATTAGGTTACCTGCAAGTTGAACAAAATTGTATCGCTGATGACCATTGGCCAAAAACGGCTGCTTTTTTCTAACTGGTCCAGTGCTGAAAGAGGAATGTGAAGCCATATGACAGGAAGTCTAAAATTAGTAACACAATATTTACAAACTGGAAATAAAGTTAAGATGCTGTGCCCTGGTCAACTATTGTAGCTGCTCATTAAGATGATGACCACTGGTCAACTCACCATACAGATAAGGCTTCCTGCCGCCATATTTCTCCATCAGAGCAGGACTGGTTGGTGCCAGACGATTTTCTTTCATAAACTCACCAAACACCTGGACAAAAGCAAGGTCAAGGTAACAACATATTCTAACCCCAATAGGGCTAGTAAGTAGGTCACCAACCAGTTTTATGGCTCATGCAGGGTAGAACTGGTTGGTGACCTACTTACCAGCCCTATTGTGCTAAAGTCTTTTATTTAGAGTAAACTAACATATTACAACACAAGTAATTAGCCAAATGTATTCACCAAATAATTCTGTTGATAAAAAACCCAAGCCTTGAACCCCCCCCCCCAAGGACCTGACCTTGAACTTACCGTAATCCTGTAATCCATGACCCCCCCCCCAAGGACCTGACCTTGAACTTACTGTAATCCTGTAATCTGTGACCTGCCCCCCCCCCCCCCAAGGACCTGACCTTGAACTTACTGTAATCCTGTAATCTGTGACCTGCCCCCCCCCCCAAGGATCTGACCTTGAACTTACCGTAATCCTGTAATCCGTGACCCTGCCACCACAGCCCTCACTGATGGATGGTGGATCTTCAAGGATGGACCTGGAGGTGGGGATGGAGTGGATGTAGATTTCCCCACCGTGAGCGGCCAGCATGTGGGAGATGACCTTGACCCCACTTTTTCTTGGCTGCTCCAGCATCACAGCGCGACCTGCAAGTTGACAAGGTAGCCATAGGCTAGAGGTAGCCAGAAGCTAGCACTTGTGCATAGGGTAGCCAGAAGCTAGAGGTAGCCCAAGTACAGGGGTAGCCTTAAGCTAGCAGGTAGCACTTGCACATAGGGTAGCCAGAAGCTAAAGGGTAGCCAGATACAGGGGAAGCCTTAAGAGTGTAGCACTTGCACATAGGGTAGCCAGAAGCTAAAGGGTAGCCAGATACAGGGGAAGCCTTAAGAGTGTAGCACTTGCACATAGGGTAGCCAGAAGCTAGCACGTATAAGCTGCAGACAGGAAGAAGTTAGAGGGTAAGTAGCATGAGTAGGGTAGCCAGAAACAAATGGCAGCATTGTACAGAAATTATTACGTTGCTATGCCGTTTAATTAGAAATCTTTTATTTAAACTAATTAATTGATATTTTTTCTTTTTAATCTCCATCTACGTAAGGTTGATTTTACCGTTGCCAACCCAAGGCTATAACCAAAGGCTTGGACCTTAACCACCCATGCAACAGGTCTGGTCGCCAATGAATTATTTGTTTGGATGGAGTGTGCTATGGAGATTCCCCACCAATGTCAACTGAAGATGCTTCTGTTGACGTCATCATGTACGGGGGTTCCGCTGGGTGATTACATCATTTCCGTTAGTCAATACAGACTCGACAATGGCCGGCCCTCGCCAAACATCCTCAGCCGAGATTTGGGAAAATGGTGGTCAATGGTGATCGTGTGTGGGTGCTGGTGGTGAATGGTGGTGTGGGGGATTTGGTGGTGGTGGTGTGTGTGTGTGGGGGGGGGGGGGGGGTCGGGGGAGAAATTTGGTTGGGGGGATTTGGTGCAGAGGCGTAGCGACCCTTCCCGGCGCCCAGGGACAAACTTTCAAATTGGCGCCCCTTCGGAGGCAAATTTTCAATTTGCACCCGACTCAAACTTTTGCTTTGCACCCCCCCCCCCTCCACAAACTTTCGATTTGCACCCCCCCCCCCCCCTCAAACTATTAATAATGCAAAAATGCAGCTAAAATGACATTTTTATTTGTTTTTACAACCCATTTTGGCGCCCCCTAAGTTCGGCGCCCGGGGACATATGTACCCCCCTGCCCCCCCCCCCCATCGCTACGCCTCTGATTTGGTGGTGGTGTGGGTGTGTGGGGGGGGGATTTGGTGATGCGGGGATATGGTGGTGGTGATGGTTGGTGGTGTGTGGGGGGGGGGGAGGGGGAGTTCGATGGTGTGGGGGATTTGATGGTGCAGTAGGGTGGTGGTGGTGGTGGTTGTCTAGATATGGTGGTGGTGAGTGGTAGTGTGGATGGATTTGGTGGTGGGGATTAGTGTTGTGTGGGGTGGTGGTGGTGTGGGTAATATGGTTGTGGGGGTATTTGGTGGTGGTTGGTGGTGGGGGTACTTATTGGTGGTGAATGTGGGCTTGGATAAGAGAACGTCTGTCTGGGAGAATTGTGTGTATGAATGGCGGTACGGGATTGAAGGCTGCCAGCGACAATGGCGGCCAGCCAATTAGAGAGCTGAACTTGCTCGCCATAACAGGAGAATCAATACAAGAATTAGTTGAACGATAATTGGCCAGATGTGAACAGCCTAAGTGTAATAAGCTTAAATCAACCAATCGGCTGTAGGCTAACGACTCAACACGTTCTGGGTATTCTGGGAACAGCGAGAGTGACCGAACTTTGCTGGAGTTGTGGGCCTTGGTGGTAGTTATGGGGCTTTTAGTCAAGCTGCTGGTCGTTTTGAGGCAGTTGATTAAAAATGTATAGGATAAGTGTGAGACAGCGAGTAGAACGCATTAAGAAACTTTCACACAAAACCAAATGACTGACGTTTAGGGACTTTCACACCCAGTACCAAAATCTTTTTAATTTTTTTTCAAGGCTATTGTTTAATCAGTGCGTTTAGGGCTTAGTACTGCCTCACAATATGACATTCAAAATGGTTTGTTAACAGATTATGTTTGAACTATGTTTACGGATTATCATCATTTCCCGGTCGTGCACAAGACACATGGGGCAGATGAAGTAGAGTTCATGTGCTTCAGTTACGGATTATATTATTATGTTATTTACTAGCTAGGGAAACAAGAAACACATGGTGAGACATTAGGGACCTACCACTGAGTAAAAAAATGGTGAGACATTAGGGACCTACCACTGAGTAAAAAATTGGTGAGACATTAGGGACCTACCACTGAGTAAAAAATTGGTGAGACATTAGGGACCTACCACTGAGTAAAAAATTGGTGAGACATTAGGGACCTACCACTGAGTAAAAAATTAATGAGACATTAGGGACCTGCCACTGAGTAAAAAATTGGTGAGACATTAGGGACCTACTGCTGAGTAAAAAATTGGTGAGACATTAGGGACCTACCACTGAGTAAAAAATTGGTGAGACATTAGGGACCTACCACTAAGTAAAAAATTGGTGAGACATTAGGGACCTACCACTGAGTGAAAAATTGGTGAGACATTAGGGACCTACCACTGAGTAAAAAATTGGTGAGACATTATGGACCTACCACTGAGTAAAAAATTGGTGAGACACGATGAAGGTCTGCTGTTGACGTCGACTGGACAGGTCCTGTAGACGGCTGAACACATGTGGAGTTCTGGCAATAGGAAAGAAAGTCTGGATCAGGGGAGAGCATTCATGTTTCTGGTGTAGGGGAGAGCATTCATGTTTCTGGTGTAAGGTGGAGCATTCATGTTTCTGGTGTAAGGTGGAGCATTCATGTTTCTGGTGTAGGGGAGAGCATTCATGTGTCTGGTGTAGGGGAGAGCATTCATGTTTCTGGTGTAGGGGAGAGCATTCATGTTTCTGGTGTAAGGGAGAGCATTCATGTTTCTGGTGTAGGGGAGAGCATTCATGTTTCTGGTGTAGGGGAGAGCATTCATGTTTCTGGTGTAGGGGAGAGCATTCATGTTTCTGGTGTAGGGGAGAGCATTCATGTTTCTGGTGTAGGGGAGAGCATTCATGTTTCTGGTCTAAGGGAGAGCATTCATGTTTCTGGTGTAGGGGAGAGCATTCATATTTACAGACACCGATACGGACATTCAAACACACGTCTTACCAGCTCAAATAGAATTTCCTCTCACTCCACACCCCCCCCCCCCTCACACCGATATTAAACTGTTTAAAAGGACAAAAATACTCAAGCAGAAAAAAAATTCATTTTTTTTTCAAATCCAGTTTAATCAATGCTGGACTAAAAAGGGGTTGAAAAAGTGGGATGGGGGGGGGGGGGGTGACATCCATATGATGATTAAACACGGGGACACCAAAAACTGTAGTAAAACATGAGGGCACCCATAAGTTGGCTAAAATATAGGGAGGGGCACTCATAAATTGATTCTAGGGAGGAGCACCCGTAAGTTGATTCTAGGGAGGGGCACCCGTAAGTTGACTGTAGGGAGGGGCACCCATAAGTTGACTGTAGGGAGGAGCACCCGTAAGTTGATTCTAGGGAGGGGCACCCGTAAGTTGACTGTAGGGAGGGGCACTCATAAGTTGATTCTAGGGAGGGGCATCCATCAGTTGACAATGGGGAGGGGCAACCACACGTTGACTGCAGGGGGGACCCATAAGTTGACTATAGGGGGGGGGGGGACGTCCCACACGTTGACTGTAGGGGGGATCCATAAGTTGACTATAGGGAGGGGCACCCGTAAGTTGACTATAGGGGGGGACCCATACATTGACCGCTGAAGGACTGATTGAGTTTCCCCCACTATCGATCTCCAGAGCTTGACGCGACAAGTGTCGTCATTTGACGTCTTTCATTTGCATACACACTCAGTAGAGTGGACTGTAAACAGATGGCCAGTCTGATAGGCTGGACCACAAGTTTGGTGGTCCGGACCACGGGTCTGATAGGCTGGACCACGGGTTTGGTGGTCCGGACCACGGGTCTGATGGTCCGGACCACGGGTCTGATGGTCCAGACCACCAAAATTTTTTTTGGGGGGGGGGGGGCACTGTCAAAAAGTATGTTTTCTATATAAATTCCATTTCGTTCGGGGGGGGGGGGGCGGTAGACTTTCTTCGGGGGATGCCTGGAAGAAACTCTGCAGATCACAGTCAGATGGTAGGGACCACGAATGATAAACTTATAACCACAATTTTCCTATTCACTACTCTAATCCAAACACTCTGTCTTGCTACACGTCCTAATTCACACACACACGCACACACAAACGAACGTTTGGCTTACCTACAACACTAGACTTTGGGGTGCACCATTTCAGGGGCGCTGTCTCAATGGGGAGCCCTTCTTTGGATGGTATCACCAAACCCTCCGCATGTTCTGTGGACAACGGGAAATCCAAACCTCCATCATCAGCAACAAAACTGTGCCCCTTACGGTTTAACATGATCAGCAACAAAACTGTTCCCCGACCTTTACGGTTTAACATCAGCAACAAAACTGTTCCCCGACCTTTACGGTTTAACATCAGCAACAAAACTGTTCCCCGACCTTTACGGTTTAACATCAGCAACAAAACTGTGCCCCTTACGGTTTAACATGATCAGCAACAAAACTGTGCCCCTTACGGTTTAACATGATCAGCAACAAAACTGTTCCCCGACCTTTACGGTTTAACATCAGCAACAAAACTGTTCCCCGACCTTTACGGTTTAACATCAGCAACAAAACTGTTCCCCGACCTTTACGGTTTAACATCAGCAACAAAACTGTGCCCCTTACGGTTTAACATGATCAGCAACAAAACTGTGCCCCTTACGGTTTAACATGATCAGCAACAAAACTGTGCCCCTTACGGTTTAACATCATCAGCAACAAAACTGTGCCCCTTACGGTTTAACATGATCAGCAACAAAACTGTGCCCCTTACGGTTTAACATGATCAGCAACAAAACTGTGCCCCTTACGGTTTAACATCATCAGCAACAAAACTGTGCCCCGACCCTTACGGTTTAACATCAGCAACAAAACTGTGCCCCGCCCCTTATGGTTTAACATCAGCAACAAAACTGTGCCCCGCCCCTTACGGTTTAACATCAGCAACAAAACTGTGCCCCTTACGGTTTAACATCAGCAACAAAACTGTGCCCCTTACGGTTTAACATCAGCAACAAAACTGTTCCCCGACCTTTACGGTTTAACATCAGCAACAAAACTGTGCCCCTTACGGTTTAACATGATCAGCAACAAAACTGTGCCCCTTACGGTTTAACATGATCAGCAACAAAACTGTGCCCCTTACGGTTTAACATGATCAGCAACAAAACTGTGCCCCTTACGGTTTAACATGATCAGCAACAAAACTGTGCCCCTTACGGTTTAACATGATCAGCAACAAAACTGTGCCCCTTACGGTTTAACATGATCAGCAACAAAACTGTGCCCCTTACGGTTTAACATGATCAGCAACAAAACTGTGCCCCTTACGGTTTAACATGATCAGCAACAAAACTGTGCCCCTTACGGTTTAACATGATCAGCAACAAAACTGTGCCCCTTACGGTTTAACATGATCAGCAACAAAACTGTGCCCCTTACGGTTTAACATGATCAGCAACAAAACTGTGCCCCTTACGGTTTAACATGATCAGCAACAAAACTGTGCCCCTTACGGTTTAACATGATCAGCAACAAAACTGTGCCCCTTACGGTTTAACATGATCAGCAACAAAACTGTGCCCCTTACGGTTTAACATGAGCAGCAACAAAACTGTGCCCCTTACGGTTTAACATGATCAGCAACAAAACTGTACCATTACGGTTTAACATGAGCAGCAACAAAACTGTGCCCCGGCCCTTACGGTTTAACAAGTTGCCCCACCCACCCGAAAGTGTCCCTTCTTCCCATCACTTTGAATTAACAATAGACCCAACACTTTCGGGTAACATAAAAAAATTATAAACTTCTATTATTTACTCGTGCATTGTTTTTTTTAACAACTGACCGAATATACAGATTTTGCCAAGATGAGATTTTTTAAAAGTGGGTTTAAATTGCGCGAATTTAATGTCCAATTATGCAAATTCGAAGATATAAGATTGGCATGTCCGTTTTAGAAAGCTGGTTGATGGAAATAAACCCAACAATTTTACATCCATTTCCATTCCTTTTAGGAGGTTAAAAAAATCTTGAAATTAAAGTGGATATTATCAAAACCGGGCCTGGGCTGTTAGAGGCAACGTGGTTACATTCTTAAATATTTACTGAGATGAGATACATCAAGTAAGTTTTTTAAGACCGGTTACCTCACGTACCCAGTTACCTCCCGTACCCAGTTACCTCCCGCCACGAGTTACCTCCCGTCGCGAGTTACCTACCTTAACAAGTTACCTACCGTTTTTAAACATCTCGTCATGGGCAGCCGCAGGGTGAAGCAGCTCTACGTCATAGTTAGCAGACGAGCTGGCGTTTTGTTCTTCCTGTAATAGAGAACATTAGTGCTACGTAGAGAACATTACAGTAGTGCTACATAGAGAACATTACATTAATGCTACACAGAGAACATTACATTAGTGCTACATTCTGCTGGCGTTTTGTTCTTCCTGTAATAGAGAACATTACATTAGTGCTACATAGAGAACACTACATTAGTGCTACATTCTGCTGGAGTTTTGTTGTTCCTAATAAAATTACATTAGTACTACATATTGGAGGCTTTAGCTTGGGCATCAGAACGACTTTCTTTACCTATACATCTTTAGGTTAAAATGATACTCTTATTCCCTAAAGCGTTTTTATAAACAACTAAAGGCACGCAATAACCTCAGTAGTTTTATGAATGTATAAACCAGAGGGGAGATGACATTATTTACCACATGCGGTACTAAAGGTTGGCTAGTTACAGGCTGATGTTTTAGTTACTGGCCCACAGTTAGGCTGATGTTTTAGTTACAGGCCCACAATTAAACTGATGTTTTAGTTATAGGCCCACAATTAAACTGATGTTTTAGTTATAGGCCCACAATTAAACTGATGTTTTAGTTATAGGCCCACAATTAAACTGATGTTTTAGTTATAGGCCCACAATTAAACTGATGCTTTAGTTACAGGCCCACAATTAAACTGATGTTTTAGTTACAGGCCCACAATTAAACTGATGTTTTAGTTATAGGCCCGCAATTAAACTGATGTTTTAGTTATAGGCCCACAATTAAACTGATGTTTTAGTTATAGGCCCACAGTTAAACTGATTTTATAGTTACAGGCCCACAATTAAACTGATCTTTTAGTTACAGGCCCACAATTAAACTGATGTTTTAGTTACAGGCCCACAATTAAACTGATGTTTTAGTTACATCCCACAATTAAACTGATGTTTTAGTTACATCACACAATTAAACTGATGTTTTAGTTACAGCCCACAATTAAACTGATGTTTTAGTTACAGCCCACAATTAAACTGATGTTTTAGTTACAGCCCACAATTAAACTGATGTTTTAGTTACATCACACAATTAAACTGATGTTTTAGTTACAGCCCACAATTAAACTGATGTTTTAGTTACAGCCCACAATTAAACTGATGTTTTAGTTACAGGCCCACAATTAAACTGATGTTTTAATTACAGCCCACAATTAAACTGATGTTTTAGTTATAGGCCCACAATTAAACTGATGTTTTAGTTACAGCCCACAATTAAACTGATGTTTTAGTTACATCACACAATTAAACTGATGTTTTAGTTACAGCCCACAATTAAACTGATGTTTTAGTTACAGCCCACAATTAAACTGATGTTTTAGTTACATCCCACAATTAAACTGATGTTTTAATTACAGCCCACAATTAAACTGATGTTTTAGTTACATCCCACAATTAAACTGATGTTTTAGTTACAGACCACAATTAAACTGATGTTTTAGGTATAGGCCCACAATTAAACTGATGTTTTAGTTACAGGCCCACAATTAAACTGATGTTTTAGTTACAGGCCCACAATTAAACTGATGTTTTAGTTATAGGCCCACAATTAAACTGATGTTTTAGTTACAGGCCCACAATTAAACTGATGTTTTAGTTATAGGCCCACAGTTAAACTGATTTTATAGTTACAGGCCCACAATTAAACTGATCTTTTAGTTACAGGCCCACAATTAAACTGATGTTTTAGTTACAGGCCCACAATTAAACTGATGTTTTAGTTACATCCCACAATTAAACTGATGTTTTAGTTACATCACACAATTAAACTGATGTTTTAGTTACAGCCCACAATTAAACTGATGTTTTAGTTACAGCCCACAATTAAACTGATGTTTTAGTTACAGCCCACAATTAAACTGATGTTTTAGTTACATCACACAATTAAACTGATGTTTTAGTTACAGCCCACAATTAAACTGATGTTTTAGTTACAGCCCACAATTAAACTGATGTTTTAGTTACAGGCCCACAATTAAACTGATGTTTTAATTACAGCCCACAATTAAACTGATGTTTTAGTTATAGGCCCACAATTAAACTGATGTTTTAGTTACAGCCCACAATTAAACTGATGTTTTAGTTACATCACACAATTAAACTGATGTTTTAGTTACAGCCCACAATTAAACTGATGTTTTAGTTACAGCCCACAATTAAACTGATGTTTTAGTTACATCCCACAATTAAACTGATGTTTTAATTACAGCCCACAATTAAACTGATGTTTTAGTTACATCCCACAATTAAACTGATGTTTTAGTTACAGACCACAATTAAACTGATGTTTTAGGTATAGGCCCACAATTAAACTGATGTTTTAGTTACAGGCCCACACTTAGGCTGATGTTTTAGTTACAGGCCCACACTAAGCCTGATGTTTTAGTTATAGGCCCACAATTAAACTGATTTTATAGTTACAGGCCTGCAGTTAAACTGATTTTATAGTTACAGGCCCACAATTAAACTGATGTTTTAGTTACAGGCCCACAATTAAACTGATGTTTTAGTTATAGGCCCACAATTAAACTGATTTTATAGTTACAGGCCCACAATTAAACTGATGTTTTAGTTACAGGCCCACAATTAAACTGATGTTTTAGTTATAGGCCCACAATTAAACTGATGTTTTAGGTATAGGCCCACAATTAAACTGACGTTTTAGTTACAGGCCCACAGTTAAACTGATGTTTTAGTTATAGGCCCACAGTTAAACTGATTTTATAGTTACAGGCCCACAATTAAACTGATGTTTTAGTTACAGGCCCACAATTAAACTGATGTTTTAGTTATAGGCCCACAATTAAACTGATGTTTTAGGTATAGGCCCACAATTAAACTGACGTTTTAGTTACAGGCCCACAGTTAAACTGATGTTTTAGTTATAGGCCCACAATTAAACTGATGTTTTAGTTACAGGCCCACAATTAAACTGATGTTTTAGTTATAGGCCCACAGTTAAACTGATTTTATAGTTACAGGCCCACAATTAAACTGATCTTTTAGTTACAGGCCCACAATTAAACTGATGTTTTAGTTATAGGCCCACAATTAAACTGATTTTATAGTTACAGCCCACAATTAAACTGATGTTTTAGTTACAGGCCCAAAGAAGTTTTGTTGGATGTATCACTGAAGTAGAGTTTTGCTGCATTACATTCATCATCTTCTCCCGTTCATGCCCACGACACATGGGGCAAATGTAGTAGAGTTTATCTGTTAAAATGACTTAGGGCATACAAGGGGATAGTGTGGTCAGCACTATGCCCAGCCACCTTAGTTTCCTTAAGGTGAGTAAGCTGCCCATCAGGGTGGACTCTGTGACGTCCCCAAGACACGAGCCCGTTATACTTGCATTGGTGCCATCACATCATTATTCCATCGGTAGAATTCTGACATAAAACATACATTCGATGGGTAACAAAATCTTTATCTAAAGATATAGCTCATCTCAAAACACGATTGGTAACCAAATCTATCTCTAAAATGTTGTCCAACTCCAAACAATTCCCCAATAAATATGTATTAAAACACAAATACGACTGTTCCAAATATGGCATCAAACTTCGCACGAGGCCAAGCCGTTGAATGTAAACAAACAATTGCCACCCGCAAGTGGGATTCAAAGCGACATACCCACCAACGAGAGACCCACTAGCCAGAGAGTGGGATTCAATGCGACATCCCACAACCGAGAGACCCACTAGCGATAGAGTGGGATTCAATGCGACATCCCACAACCGAGAGACCCACTAGCGATAGAGTGGGATTCAATGCGACATCCCACAACCGAGAGACCCACTAGCCAGAGAGTGGGATTCAAAGCGACATCCCACAACCGAGAGACCCACTAGCCAGAGAGTGGGATTCAAAGCGACATCCCCACCACCGAGAGACCCACTAGCCAGAGAGTGGGATTCAAAGCGACATCCCACCACCAAGAGACCCACTAGCGAGAGAGTGCAATCAAGTACAAACACTACGGAATAGAATTGAAGAAAACTGAAAATTGTTTACATTCTTCAAAGTTATTGAATCTGACGTAGCCAATATAAAAAATAAATAAATAAAACCAGTCCATTTTTGCCTTTTGGTATTCAACTTCTTAAAAGCCCAATCAATAGAGGGGTATTCGAGGATGAAAAAACATCATCTGTTTTTTATCAAGTAGATGATGGATGAGCAACTACTTTATTTTGTCACAGTGAGAAAAACACTTGGTTTTTTTTCTCCTCATAGGGTTCAAATTTCGCAGGGAGGTCTTTGGGGAGAGATGGTAGCCCATCTGGTCCTGTGATGGTTGCTCCTCTGGTGGAGCCCTGTGATAGTTGCCCCTCTAGTGGAGCCCTATGATGGTAGCTACTCTTGTGGTGTCTTGTGATGCTTGCCCTAACTAGTTCTAGGACATTACTCCCCACCCCACATCAATTACCCTTCGGACATTACCCCCCCTATGCCTAACCCTAAATGGGGGGGGGGGCACTGTCCTGCAGTACGGGGCTAATAGGGGGGGGGTCCGAGAAGGTAATTGGGGAGGGGGGGTAATGTCCTGCTCCCAGTAGGGTCGTGATTATTGTACACAAATCTCAACACAAATTGTTTCCCTTCATTGTGGAAGTAGAGATAAGACTCACACCTACCTTTGAAGACAGAGAAGAGACACACATAAAAGCTTACCTTCATAGGGATGCCGGTGACTGTGGTAGAACAGAGGTCAAAGTGTTGACAGCAGAGAAGAACAAGTTTGTTGTAGACATGGCGGCCTGACAGGGTGGTGGTGACTTCACTCGCCAGGATAGGACTGAGCTAGGACCAGGGGAGGACATCAAATGAAACATTAGCAGGATAGGACTGAGCTAGGACCAGGGGAGGACATCACATGAAACATTAGCAGGATAGGACTGAGCTAGGACCAGGGGAGGACATCACATGAAACATTAGCAGGATAGGACTGAGCTAGGACCAGGGGAGGACATCACATTAATTATAGACCAGGGTAGGACATCACATGAAACATTAGCAGGATAGGACTAATCTAGGACCACGATAGCACATCACATTATAGGCAGGATAGGACATCACATGAAACATAAGCAGGATAGGACTAATCTAGGACCAGGGTAGGACATCACATTATAGGCAGGATAGGACATCACATGAAACATTATAGGCAGGGTAGGACTGATGTAGGACCAGGGTAGGACATCACATGAAACATTATAGGCAGGGTAGGACTGAGTTAGGCCCAGGGTAGGACATCACATGAAACATTATAGGCAGGGTAGGACTGAGCTAGGACCAGGGTAGGACATCACATGAAACATTATAGGTAGGGTAGGACTGAGCTAGGACCAGGGTAGGACATCACATGAAACATTATAGGCAGGGTAGGACTGAGCTAGGACCAGGGTAGGACATCACATGAAACATTATAGGCAGGGTAGGACTGAGCTAGGACCAGGGTAGGACATCACATGAAACATTATAGGCAGGGTAGGACTGAGCTAGGACCAGGGTAGGACATCACATGAAACATTATAGGCAGGGTAGGACTGAGCTAGGACCAGGGTAGGACATCACATGAAACATTATAGGCAGGGTAGGACTGAGCTAGGACCAGGGTAGGACATCACATGAAACATTATAGGCAGGGTAGGACTGAGCTAGGACCAGGGTAGGACATCACATGAAACATTATAGGCAGGGTAGGACTGAGCTAGGACCAGGGTAGGACATCACATGAAATATTATAGGCAGGGTAGGACTGAGCTAGGACCAGGGTAGGACATCACATGAAACATTATAGGCAGGGTAGGACTGAGCTAGGACCAGGGTAGGACATCACATGAAACATTATAGGCAGGGTAGGACTGAGCTAGGACCAGGGTAGGACATCACATGAAACATTATAGGCAGGATATTACATATCTAGACCCAGGGAAAACCAAATCGTTCAAGCCTTATTAACAGTACGACACAATTGTGATGAATGCATTTCTATAGTGCGGTATGTACAAGTTCTTGCAAGATGCAAACTTTCTTATCACTATCTCAGTGGTATGTTTACCACTCAGTGATGTGTTTACCACTAAGTGTTGTGTTTACCACCCTGTGGTATGTTTACCACCCAGTGTTGTGTTTAACACTCAGTGTTGTGTTTACCACTAAGTGTTGTGTTTACCACTCATTGATGTGTTTACTACTCTGTGGTATGTTTACCACTAGGTGATGTGTTTACCACTAAGGGATGAGTTTACCACTAAGGGATGAGTTTACCACTAAGTGTTGTGTTTACCACTAAGGGATGAGTTTACCACTAAGTGTTGTGTTTAGCACTAAGGGATGAGTTTACCACTCAGTGATGTGTTTACCACTCAGTAATATGTTTACCACTCAGTGATGTGTTTACCACCCAGTGATGTGCTTACCACCCAGTGATATGTTTACCACTGGGTGTTGTGTTTACCACCCAGTGACATGTTTACCACCCAGCGACGTGTTTACCACCCAGGGATGTGTTTAAACACTTACCTCTCGCCTCCTTTTGTCGGTGACCCTGATGTCCTGACCAAGGGGGACGGCGTGAAGAACAACCAGCTCACAGGCATCGATGGGCAGCCTGGGAGATTACAAGAGGAAATGGTCACGTGACTTTGGGCCACATTCAACATTGTCTCGTATCTTCAGTTAATATTACACACTGTCACGTGACTTTAGGCCACATTCAACATTGTCTCGTATCTTCAGTCAATTTTAAACACTGTCATGTGACTTTAGGCCACATTCAACATTATCATGTGACTTTAGGCCACATACAACATTGTCTCGTATCTTCAGTCAATATTAAATATTGTCACGTGACTTTAGGTCACATTCAACATTGTCTCGTATCTTCAGTCAATATTAAATATTGTCACGTGACTTTAGGTCACATTCAACATTGTCTCGTATCTTCAGTCAATATTAAATATTGTCACGTGACTTTAGGTCACATTCAACATTGTCTCGTATCTTCAGTCAATATTAAATATTGTCACGTGACTTTAGGTCACTTTCAACATTGTCTCGTATCTTCAGTCAATATTACACATTGTCATCTGACTTCAGTTCACTTGAAACATTGTCTCGAGAAGGCTATAACACAGTTGAAAAACCAAAAGTAGAATGTTATTAATTGAAGTAGTTCCTAACACAATGACAACATTAGCTGTTGATGGAATAAATTGTCTGGAGTAGATCATAACAAAGTTCAAAGACCAACTGTCGAAAATATATTGTTTAGTTTAGAGCAGATCCTAACAAGGTTCAAAGACCAACTGTCGAAAATATATTGTTTAGTTTAGAGTAGATCATAACAAAGTTCAAAGACCAACTGTCGAAAATATATTGTTTAGTTTAGAGTAGATCATAACAAAGTTCAAAGACTAACTGTCGAAAATATATTGTTTAGTTTAGAGTAGATCATAACAAAGTTCAAAGACCAACTGTCGAAAATATATTGTTTAGTTTAGAGTAGATCATAACAAAGTTCAAAGACCAACTGTCGAAAATATATTGTTTAGTTTAGAGTAGATCATAACAAAGTTCAAAGACCAAATGTTGAAAATATATTGTTTAGTTTAGAGTAGATCCTAACAAGGTTCAAAGACCAACTGTCGAAAATATATTGTTTAGTTTAGAGTAGATCATAACAAAGTTCAAAGACCAACTGGCGAAAATATATTGTTTAGTTTAGAGTAGATCATAACAAGGTTCAAAGACCAACTGTCGAAAATATATTGTTTAGTTTAGAGTAGATCATAACAAGGTTCAAAGACCAACTGTCGAAAATATATTGTGTAGTTTAGAGCAGATCCTAACAAGGTTCAAAGACCAACTGTCGAAAATATATTGTTTAGTTTAGAGTAGATCAACAAAGTTCAAAGACCAACTGTCGAAAATATATTGTTTAGTTTAGAGTAGATCAACAAGGTTCAAAGACCAACTGTCGAAAATATATTGTTTAGTTTAGAGTAGATCAACAAGGTTCAAAGACCAACTGTCGAAAATATATTGTTTAGTTTAGAGTAGATCATAACAAGGTTCAAAGACCAACTGTCGAAAATATATTGTTTAGTTTAGAGTAGATCCCCAAAAGTGCAAGCCGAAAAAGTATCTAGACACTGTTTATTTTTATGCAGACGTAATCCTTTGATCGGTCAAAGAAAGAACAACATGGAATAGATTTAGGTCGGCTCGTGATTTCACCGACAGCTGTTTTCTCGATAAACAAACCAGCGCATGCCCTCCGCAATCACGACTGCAAGTTGATATTTGCATCGTGATCGCCTTATCATACACACAACATCTGCAGTCAAATCATTATTTTCAACATCAACACAACATCTGCAGTCAACTCATTATTCACAACATCCACAAAAAGAAATCTGCAGTCAACTGATTTTTATACTCTACAGTCAGGTCATTGTTATAAGTACACAAGTTCATGAACTCTCAGACATGCATGGGTCCCTGAAATCTGGAACAAGTTCATGACCTTAGAATGACAGCTGGGGCAGCATGACCCTCGAGGCACGAGAAATTTTGTTAATATGGGGGACAACTCCCAGCCGGTGATGGACAAATGATATCAGGACAAAAAATCTCAAGGACAAATGATTCCACGGACAGAAGATCTGAGAACAAAATATATCAGGACAAATGGTATCTTGGATAAACAATATCAGACAGAATATCGCAGACAAAATATCGCACATCAAAATATTATTATTTAGGATGATTTTAGTCAATTTATATTTTACTAGGCATACTGCCTAGCTTCGCTTAGGTTTTCAAAAAAGTTGGGGAATTGAATGATTAATTAATAGGTGATTGGCTGCTATCTTAAATGCTTAGGGCCTAAATTTTTACAGTGGAGTATTTTAATGTCACTGAAAAAATCGATGGAATATTCGCAAACTTATTACTTGTACGGTTATTAGAACTGCAAGGGTTTTCTTAATATTATCAATCAAATATTATAATAAATTACTTTCGCAATTAATTGATATAATTACAGTTCAATGCAAAACTTAATTCGTAACAAAAAATTTATTTAAAACAATGCTATACTTTATGATTTTTGTTTTTTTCTTAAAAAGAGTATACAAAATATTTAAAAATTATTACATTAAAAAGTTACCTCCCCTGTTCAAAGACCAAATGACCAAATCTTGTATAATGAGAATTTCACTCGCGGTCATTTTTAGCCCTCTAAGAAGGCTATAAGTCTGACCAACAGTTTTCCATACGGCGTATTCAGCTTTTGAGGTGTATACAAAAAATTAGTCAGATGTAAAGAGGGTAAGTGTCCTAAAATCAGTTTTGAAATCACCCTCTGTTTTTCCCATAAAATACAAAGATTATATAGGGAAATACGACTGGTCAGTTTTGACCCATTTAACGAATTTTCCCGGACATGGCGAGTTTTTTGGGACACCCCAAGGCGTTCTCCTACCACCTCACAAAATTTCAAGGGGGGTCGTCGGAGGAATTTTTTTTTCGTAATAGAGCTCATATAAAGAGAATTTCACTCGCGGTCACTTTTTAGCCCTCGTCGAGGGCTTTGAGTGAAACCGACAGTATTCCCTAAAGGTCAAGCCATTTACCTTAGAGCATGCAAAAAATTAGCCAGATGTAAAGACGGTAAGTGCCCTAAAATCCGTTTTGAAATCACCCTCTGTTTTTCCCATAAAATACAAAGATTATATAGGGAAATACGACTGGTCAGTTTTGACCCATTTAACGAATTTTCCCGGACATGGCGAGTTTTTTGGGACACCCCAAGGCGTTCTCCTACCACCTCACAAAATTTCAAGGGGGGTCGTCGGAGGAATTTGTTTTTCGTAATAGAGCTCATATAAAGAGAATTTCACTCGCGGTCACTTTTTAGCCCTCGTCGAGGGCTTTGAGTGAAACCGACAGTATTCCCTAAAGGTCAAGCCATTTACCTTAGAGCATGCAAAAAATTAGCCAGATGTAAAGACGGTAAGTGCCCTAAAATCCGTTTTGAAATCACCCTCTGTTTTTCCCATAAAATACAAAGATTATATTGGGAAATACGACTGGTCAGTTTTGACCCATTTAACGAATTTTCCCGGACATGGCGAGTTTTTTGGGACACCCCAAGGCGTTCTCCTACCACCTCACAAAATTTCAAGAGGGGTCATCGGAGGAGATTTTTTTTCGTAATAGAGCTCATATAAAGAGAATTTCACTCGCGGTCACTTTTTAGCCCTCGTCGAGGGCTTTGAGTGAAACCGACAGTTTTCCCTAAAGGTCAAGCCATTTACCTTAGAGCATGCAAAAAATTAGCCAGATGTAAAGACGGTAAGTGCCCTAAAATCCGTTTTGAAATCACCCTCTGTTTTTCCCATAAAATACAAAGATTATATAGGGAAATACGACTGGTCAGTTTTGACCCATTTAACGAATTTTCCCGGACATGGCGAGTTTTTTGCGACACCCCAAGGCGTTCTCCTACCACCTCACAAAATTTCAAGGGGGGTCGTCGGAGGAAAAAAAATTTCGTAATAGAGCTCATATAAAGAGAATTTCACTCGCGGTCACTTTTTAGCCCTCGTCGAGGGCTTTGAGTGAAACCGACAGTTTTTCCTAAAGGTCAAGCCATTTACCTTAGAACATGCAAAAAATTAGCCAGATGTAAAGACGGTAAGTGCCCTAAAATCCGTTTTGAAATCACCCTCTGTTTTTCCCATAAAATACAAAGATTATATAGGGAAATACGACTGGTCAGTTTTGACCCATTTAACGAATTTTCCCGGACATGGCGAGTTTTTTGGGACACCCCAAGGCGTTCTCCTACCACCTCACAAAATTTCAAGGGGGGTCGTCGGAGGAATTTTTTTTTCGTAATAGAGCTCATATAAAGAGAATTTCACTCGCGGTCACTTTTTAGCCCTCGTCGAAGGCTTTGAGTGAAACCGACAGTTTTCCCTAAAGGTCAAGCCATTTACCTTAGAGCATGCAAAAAATTAGCCAGATGTAAAGACGGTAAGTGCCCTAAAATCCGTTTTGAAATCACCCTCTGTTTTTCCCATAAAATACAAAGATTATATAGGGAAATACGACTGGTCAGTTTTGACCCATTTAACGAATTTTCCCGGACATGGCGAGTTTTTTGCGACACCCCAAGGCGTTCTCCTACCACCTCACAAAATTTCAAGGGGGGTCGTCGGAGGAAATTTTTTTTCGTAATAGAGCTCATATAAAGAGAATTTCACTCGCGGTCACGTTTTAGCCCTCGTCGAGGGCTTTGAGTGAAACCGACAGTTTTCCCTTAAGGTCATGCCATTTACCTAAAAGCATGCAAAAAATTAGCCAGATGTTAAGACGGTAAGTGCCCTAAAATCCGTTTTGAAATCACCCTCTGTTTTTCCCATAAAATACAAAGATTATATAGGGAAATACGACTGGTCAGTTTTGACCCATTTAACGAATTTTCCCGGACATGGCGAGTTTTTTGGGACACCCCAAGGCGTTCTCCTACCACCTCACAAAATTTCAAGGGGGGTCGTCGGAGGAATTTTTTTTTCGTAATAGAGCTCATATAAAGAGAAT